AGTATACATCAAAATGTTCGGAAAAGATTATAAACTAATATTGTATAAGTAAATTTGAAAATAAATCAGGAAACTTTTGAGACAGGCAACGTGGATGGTTTTTTGCTCCCAACAAATGGCACCAGCACCGGAATTTCGTCGAAATGAGCTCTTTCACACTATCGCGTTAGAAATGTAAATTAGATTGATGATGAAAAATATGGTCCTTGGCATGGTTGAGCAAAATCTTCCCAGCTGCTGTCTCAAATCTGGTTAAAAAAACTTTCTTTAGCTGCTCTAAATTGCAAGATGATACATTTAGGACATCCAGTGTCAATGCAGTGAAAACATCTTCCTAGAAGTTTTTAGCAGTACGCTTAACGAGTATTAAATATTCATTTCTTGTCCCATTTATAAATGCTATCACCTACAGCACAAAATAGAAACGTTGTCACTTGATGTACGAGAGGTATAGTGCTTTTGAGACATTGGGTCTAAGGTATAGACCCTTTCACTCTTTACAAACACAGATCCTTGATGACATCTGGTTTCATCCACCGATGAGCCTTAATAGCGTCGGTAGGCAAGAAAAGCTGTGAGAAATAGCCCGCTCATTTTCTAGAATTTGTTCCCTTACTTGGCAAAATATATTCAATTAGATATTTTTTTGAGCTACAGAAAAGCGATAAGAGATTTCTTTGAAATCTACACTCGTTGCTTTTATCTGAAAAACAAAAAAAGAGACTTTCCTTACCCCTGAAAAAAGACAACTTGAGAACATGCTTTCTATTTTGAAGTTAGGAGCTGGTAAATAAGGTGACCGGAAGTTTTTTTGGATACAACACATGCTATCTTGAAACCGTATATAGGATCGCGCTTGTCTTGTTACATGATATGAACAAAACAAGACGGTTACAAAGAAAAAATAAACAAAAGCTCACGCACTTTGGAACAAAACATATCCATAGAGGCTCGAGTGACCGTCTGCTTGTTTAGTAACTGATCTCGGCAATGCTGATCCGCATTTACCTTTGCTCCGTCCCATGCATGTTGATCGGAGTATATATATATAAACTTTCTGTCCGTTCTTGGTCTCATGCATTCGCTTTAGCACCGTTATGGTAGCTAAAAGCAAAAGTGTACTCACGTTTGGGCCTAGCTCGAACTCGTCGTTAGGCTTCATCCATAGCCGGAGCAGGGACATGAAATTCACCTCCGCCATTCTATAGACGAACGCTCGCGAGTCCGGCAAGTGTCACTTGCGTTCGTGGTTTGCCCCGTTCGCAGAGGCAGCAGCGCTCCCGTCGAGCGGCAAACTTGAGCTCGGGCTTCTTGTACCAGTCTTTCACTCTCCCCCATCCTTCCCGTACACTTCCTGCCATCGGATCCCGCTATGCGAGAAGCCGCGAAACGTGAACGTAGTTATGCCGAAGCCCTGAAAAGCACCTTGCTATGCGGCTGTAGACGGCACACCATCGAATACCTGAGTTGGCCGCGAAGGGTTGATCCGAAGTTTATTGTGTTTTGCGAATATTTGTTTAGAAGCAGCCTTGGGTGTTGGATGGCGCGCTGCATCGCGTGACGAGCATCCGGTGGCGTACACGTGATCCTCGCGGGATGCCAGCCTTCCGTAGCCGCGGGACTTTGTGTTCTCTCGCACCCATCGTCCCGTATAGATCGGCACGTTTCGTCTGATTGCTCGAAATATTTGACCGCATACGCACGCTATGCTGAATGAACCAGCATACTACGTGCTCATATAGGGCTGCTCAAAACAGGCAGTGGTCGACAGTTAATAAGTGTGCTAATGAGCACCCGCAAGCCAAAATATTGACAAGTACAATGAACTATACTGTCCAGAAACTATTTAACACTCGTCCCTGCATTTCTTTTCTTTGGTGTCTCCCTTTCTATGTGTTACATGTAGTCACAAGGTTTACATGTCAATAGGGTTGATAATTACCCTTGCACTGAGGAAAGGTACGCGAAGTCACGTGACTTTGTCATGTTAGCTGATATTCGCGAAGCATGCGCAATCGCAGAGCACCCGCGACCTCCCTTCGTTTGATATCTATGTCGATAAGGTTGTCAATGACCCTTGAACTGGAGAAAGGTACATGAAGTTATGTGGCTTTCACGTGACCTAATGGTCGCGACACACATGCCACCGCAGAGCACTCGCGACCTCCTTTCGTTTGAAACCCATTTCGATAGGCTTGAAAATTACCCTTGTAGGGAGAGAAGGCACATAAAGTCACGTGACTTTCTCACGTGACCTGATGTGATACTGCTTATACGTGCTTATGGACCCTGGCGGCAGTGGCGGACAACTACGGCTTCACACGCGACCCTTGTAATTTCATAACACCTTTCGCTGTAAAAACAATAGTACATCAAGTTAGGAGTCTAAAATGGCGGCGGTCACATGTCTTAGTAGAAATAGTCTATACTTTGATGGATTTTCCCACGTTAATCGACTGCTTTGTTACCGCAGTAAAAGAAATTTGTAATTCAGAACAAGCTCTACCATCTTTTTTATATGACGATCAACGTCAATTGAAGGAATTTTCGATGTATACAGAATCCTAGAAGCAGAAAACTATGAAGGTATATCGACTCCACAAAAAATATTGTATGAAACTCTATGATTAACAAGGATTATTTTTAATGAATGTGGATTCTGTGAGACTTGTTAAATACTAGGCCGCTTAGTTGGCCCCAATATACAGGGTACGGTACGAAGAACTTCATTTATAGATCCAGGGACACAGGGTGTTTCAGTTAGGCATTAGACGATTTCGCAATCAATTTCTAGGAGAAGGTGGAAATAATTTGACACTAATTAGATCAGCCAGGAATGATTATTACCAGAATCATTTCAATCGAATTTTTTTCTAAACTTTAGGGTGTTTGCTTATATCGAAAAAATGTTTAACGTCACAAACCACGGCCCGCCCCGTCTTTAAGAATGAGGAATATCACGCGCATTTTAGAGATCTATCGTCAATTTTGTGGACCACATCGGGAGAAACCGAAACTGAGTGCAACGGGTGCGCCGCAAGTGCAGTCGCTGAGTTGCGTCGCTCTGGAAGGCCCCTTAACGCAATTTGAATGATCGAGTGCCTGGCGAGAAATGATTTCTCATCTTTCCAGAGCATGCCAATCAAAGCTTTTTCGCGTGTGATGTGCCAGTTGTAGCGTTTCTCCTTTACGCGGGAAGAACGCGGATAGCGTATGCACGATGCGCAAGGAACGAGAACACGAACGCATGTAAACTAGGGGCAACTAAGTCATGTGATTTGCTGCATTTTGTGGTACCAATGAAGAAAGAAAACACACCCACATTGCTTTTAAACGTGATGCAAAACAGGGACTGCCCGTTAGGAGCAACAAGTTCGTTAATTTCGGTTTCCCGGCACTGCGGTCTGGAATATCGACGACGAATCTCTCAAACTACACGCGACATATTCAATTTTCGAAAACAAGGCTTGTCATACATTGTGACATGGAAGAACTTCCCCATGGCTGGACAGAGAGAGATACCCGAAAAAGTATTCCGGAATACATATATCAAAATTCATGATTTGGAAGCCTGAGATACAGATACATACTTTTGTAATTGACGTAACGTCTGAATGCTCGAAATATTTGACCACATACGCACGCTAAGCTGAATGAATCAGAATGCTACATGCTCATATAGGTATGTTCAAAACAGGTAGTGGTCGACAGTTAATAGGTGTACCAATGAACATACGCAAGCAAAAATAATGACAACTAGAACGAACAATACTGTCCAGAAACTATTCAACACTCGTCCCTGCATTTCTTTTCTTTCGTGTCTCCCTTTCTATGTGTACACTGCAGCGCTAACTACGAGGCGGGACATTTCCACTGCACTTCTTCGAAAAGTTTTTTCTCTGCTCTTGCACCTGTTGGGATTTGCAGATGCGAGCGCACCGTTACTTCCCCATATAGACAACCACATCAAAATTGGTAATAAAAACGGTAATTAAGATATTATTGTGAAATAATGAGTTTTGAGTGGCCTAATTGATGGCTAAATCTTTCCGCCTTGACCTAGAAACTGCTTGCGAAGAGGCGAAATGCCTAACAAATATAGTTGTTTTAAAAATTTGTATTTATTTAAAAAACACTGTATATAGGGCCTGCCTATAAGATTATACGCAAGTTCTCTTTAGGAGGTCACGTTTTAAGAATGCATTTGTCATATGAACTCCGTATCCAATTTTCTGTATTGGTTTTATCGGTATCTAAGGTTTGATCTCGGTATCCAAGGGTTTCTATAAGAACCACCTTATTGTGTGGTGTCAGTGACGTTTGATGGCATATAACAAGCAAGGGCGATGATGTGTAGGCCAAGCTGCCCCGACTCGCACTTTAACTGCTTTGAGAAGTATTCTCCCTTAAAACGTATGAACGTACCTTGCTGCATTTGCGTCCGGAAGTTGTGGGCCACGCATACTACGAGCAATTATTCTTGTAGAAACTTCTTGTCTTCTTTTCCTAACCAGAGTCGATAATGCCACACCTAGAAATGTCCAAGAACTCATAGTGCGAACAAAAATAAACTGAGTAAATTGCAATTACTTGTGAATATTTTTTTTAGTATAACAGCACTCTTTTCAGACGGTTCTTTTGAGTATATCAGCACTCTTTCCTGTATTCAAACATTACATTTTAGAAGAGTCTTAACAGTTCGCCAATAAATAATTCAGTGTTTGCCGGTTTAACTGAGGCCTTCCTCCCATCTCCAACTACGTGACAATATTCTTCAGGACAGCCTTCATCAAGCATACTACACACAGCACGAGTTCTACTTTCTAGCTTTATTTGCAGTAGGAAGTGCACCGTCACCCTGTTACAAAGCCATTCTTCTCACTTTTTGCCACCCATATTCCGCGATAAATGGCTTCAGGGTCGCACGCCATCTTCGAGCTGCCAAGGCAGTCTCATTGACTTTTTTTCTGAATGGTGCCTGACGCCTGCTCGGAATCGCTCTATCCGGCCAGGTAGGGGAGTGCAGCGGAGTATTTGGCCAGGATAATCTCGCCAGCGCTGTAGATAAGCATCTTCAGAAGCAGATCTACCGCCTCGCCGTCTAAATCGAGAAGCAGCTCAGCCATGATGTTCTTTCTCCACATAGGGATGGCCGGCTTGTAATTTGGTAGCTGTTTCACTTTGGGCCAAGTGTCTACCGTAGGTCTACCCAGGACGCGGGAGATACAAAACAGTTGGTCGATCTCCGAATCTCCGCGGAAGAGAGTTTTACTAGTGAGCAGCTCGAAAAAGATGCACCCGATATGCTCACGTTACTGATGTCGAGTAACGACTTGCACCCGTAAGAATCTCCGGCGCTCGGTACCACATGGTGTCCACCTCGTGAGTTAAGGTGCGCATGGGCAGCGTGAAGGCTCGGCAGAAGCCTAAGTCGGCCACCTTGAGGTCATCGTTGTCGTCAATAGGTACGTTGGCTGGCTTGACGTCGAGGTACAGAACTCAACTTTGGTGGCAGAAAAGGATAGCATCCACGATCTGAACGAGGCACTTCTTAGCGACGGCGATCCAAGGTCTTGTTTTTAGGATGAGATTCAAAGAGCGTCCTAAGGTCCATGGTCATGTACTCGAAGACCATATGTGCTCGAAGACCATGTGAAGACCACTGGTGGCGTTACGACATCCATGAGACGCACTATGTTCTCGTGCCTTACCTCCCGGAGAAGGGCCACTGTCGTATCGTCATTGCCGCAACACCTTCATCTGCACCCTCGACTCGGGTCTTCTTCATGGCGACGACCTTATTGGTGGTCTTACACTTTGCTTTGTAGTCGACGCCGTACGTGCCTTCGTCGATCTTCTCCATGATGACGAAGTTGTTCATGCTCTCTGGGCTGGTACCTGATGACAGGTCTGCAGAGACTGCGATGATACGTGCAGATTCCTGATCGAGTGATCTGTAGCTGGCCCGGTCGAGCGGCCGCTGAAAACCGTTGTGACGATGTCGGTGCGCGTGGCTGCTCGCGAAGCGTGCTTTGCCTGCTCGCAAAGGGACGCGTTTGCTTGCTTGCTTAATTGTGGTTATGTTTGGCTCATACCCACTACGGGGGATCGGTCAAGAAACCGGCGACACCTTTCTTTCTTCCTTTTCTTTTGTCGGTGTTCCTTTCAGGTGTATGTTTCTTTCTGCCCTACCACGAGAATTGCGATAAGCGCTATGTTAATTTAGATGCAGCCACCGCTTGACAAAGGGATAGTCCACGAGCGATGAAAAGGAAAATGTGCGAGTCCGTCGTACCATTTGAATAACGGTAGTCTCTGTTAGAACTTTCAGTTGGGAGGAAAGGAACAAGAATAGTGACCTCAGAGACAAGAAGAAGGCAAAGTGGGTAAGGGAGCAAACAGGTCTAAAAGACTTCTTTACAAGGTCAGGGAAAAATGGTTATTAAGAGCAAATAGGTGTTAACAAAGCAATAAGATCATGCGTTTTTAATGCGTAGGCAAGGTAACTGCTGGTAAATCCACCACAATTCCAAAGACAGGCAAGCGCACGAAGGGGAAACAAAAGGTTAATGTGGCAATTGACAAGAAGTTTACGGCGATTATTTGGCCGAAACGAATACAGGACACCGAGACAATTGGTAAAACATGGCAAAGGGTTTTGTTCTGAGTGTGCTTAGTCGAGATTCTGCTCTCAATGATGATAATGTTGAGTGTTTGAATAAGCGTGCGCATTCGTTCAGGCTATGGCAAGCTGTTCGTACATCCTCCGTCGGAACCTGGCTTACCAGAGGGTGCTCAAATGCTGCGCTGTGGGGCTGCGAGAGCTCTGCAAACACGAGGACGCGGTCCACATGCAGCGATGCACCTGCACCCTACAGCTGAATCCTGCTAACCCAACGGTGCTCTACCACTGCGCTATGGAGCTGCGGGAGCTCGGCAAATACGAGGAGGTAGCCCACACGCAGCTACGCGCCTTCGTATTTCAGCTGGAACCGATAGACCCGAGGATGCTGTGCCACTACGCTGTGGGGCTGCGGCGGCTCGGCGAATACAAGGAGGCGACCGACTTGCAGCGACGTGCCTTTGGGCTCCGGCTGAACCCGGCTCACGCTAGGATGGTCTACTTCTTCGATCTGAGGCGGCGGGAGTGCACTGAGTACCAGAAGGCGGCCCATATGCGGCGACACGCCTTCGTCCTTCGGCTCAAGTCGGCTGAACCGAGGGCGCTCTATTGCTGCGCTGTGGAGATGCGTGAGCTCGGCGCACACGAAGAGAATGCCCAAATAAAGCTTCGCGCATTAGTTGTCCGGCTTGACGAGGAGGGCCGCCAGGAGGCCAGGGAGTTCGGATGTGCCTTGCATCAGCTCCACAGAAAGTTGTTTGGTCTGGTGGAAATTGTGCAGTTACAGCAAACAACTCCTATAATCGCCTGCCTGAAGTTGTAGGGATCATCTAGACCACGACTTCAGGACTGTGAGTACATTTTGGGACATTTTGTGGCTATTTTGTGTCGACTGCGTCTCCGCCTAGCAAAGCCTAACGCTAGCGGTGAACAAACGCGGTGGCTCGGCGGTGGCCGACGCCCCGGCGTTCGTTTCAGTGCCCCGTTGCGGAGACGTGACGGATATGGAGGTGACCTTCGAGGGTACTGAAATGACCCCTGAAGAACTTAGAACCGCGGACTGGATCACGAAAGTTAGAAAACATGTCAACGATCTACGGGACTCCGCTAGAGGTGACAGACAGGGACGCCAAGATGGCAACGCCTGGGCAGAGAGTGAAGCCGAGCCCGGCGAAGACAGCAAGATGGCGGCTGCGAACGCAGCATACAAAAAGCTGGGGCGCAAGATCGCGGAGCGCTATATTGCGTCTTACTACCGTGGTTGCCGGCAAACGACTACAATATAATCATTCGTCCGAAGTGCGGCCTGGCGCTCACAAAAGTTCTGAACACCAGGCTCAGTGAGGTGGTGCGTATGGCAGCGCAAATTCCGTTGATTAAGGGACAAGAAAAGGAAGTGCTCATTGTTAACGACAAGCAAGGCACCCTGCTTTTCAGCACTCCAAACATAGACACTGTTCTGGAAGGTGACCAGGACTAAGTCTATCAAGATTGAAGGCAAGAACTACGAGGTCACAGCATACCTCGCGCCGCACGAGGATAGCGGGCGGGGTGTGGTGCGCGGCATCGACGCGAGATTGTCAGTAAAGGAACTGTCAGAGGCTTTCGGCAACTCAAGGAACCCGCCGATACTTGTCTTTAGGGAGCTGGGGAACTCAAGTTCAGTAATAATCATCTTCAAAAATGAGACAGTACCCAGGTGGATGTACTGTTACGGCGTACTGCTGAAGTGCGTGCTTTATAAGAAACGATACGAGGTGTGCTACCGATGTGGCCAGCTAGGACACAGATCGGGCGTGTGTATTAGCGACCATGTTCGCTGCCGGGGATGTGGTGTGACAGCTCCACCCGAGGACCACGCATGTGAGCCCAAGTGTAAGCTGTGTGGCAAAGGTCATCTGATAGCAGATCGGAAATGCAAGGCAGCTTTCAGGACCCCTTATACAATAAAGAAGAGACAGTGGGAGGCCTGGCGGCGCACGGAAGGAGAATAGAAGGCGAAAGACGCCAATCCACAAACGTGCAGAACGGAAGAGATCAAAGAACGGTCCAGGAGCCGGTCGAAGCATCGGAGAGGGTCGAAAGGAAGAGCAGGTTCCTTCCCAAGACTACCGAAAAAACAAGAGAGCTGCCACCAATGACTGGTCCAGTAAATGAGGGGACTTCCGGAAGTGCTGTCCTTAACAGTGGGAGACCCACGTCACTGAACCGCTAGGTGGGTTGGGGAGAGAGGGCCTCCCGGGATAAACGTGAGGAAGAAATGTTAACCATTAAGAAAGAGAATCACATGCTTAAAGAGCAGCTAGCAATGATGAGTCGGCAAATAGAGGAGCTTCAAATAGCTATTAGGTCGTCTAACACAACACCGGTTTACCTACCACGAATGCCACAGAATCCAAATATAGAAAGCCCGAAGGAGCAGAGCACTAATCCGCCTCCAACTAAAAAGAGGGTAAAATAAGCGGAAAAGCCCGTAATAGATGAGAACGTAGAGACAGTGATAGACATGAAAATAGCGCAAATGGAGGCAAACATTGAAGCCAAATCTACCCAGGACGACGAATGGCGTAAGGCCTTCGAGAAACGAATGTTCGAGATGTATCAAAATCTGACACAGCAGTTGCATCAGCGGGATAATAAACTTACCGAGGAACTTAAAACAGAATTCGCGAAGAGGGATCGGGCGTATGAAATGCTCGCCCAAGAAGTATTAGGCAGGCCGATGAATAACCTTAGTGGCAATCATGGCTCACAAATCCAGTAAAAACACCGTTTGGCAATGGAATGGCAGAGGCTTCACGCGCAAGGGTGTGGTTCTGCAGGAATTTCTGAAGAAAAGGGATCGACCGGACGTTATTGCTTTACAGGAATGTGGGAGAAAGGCGACATTGTCGGGTTATAAATCCTATGTAAGCGAAGGCACGAGTGCGCAGGTGGCCAGCCTGGTCAGGCGAAACGTTACGGCGGTGCAGCATGACATTGGTAATGCACACATCGACCATGTTCTCATAGAACTAATACCCCCCAAAAAGGAAAATGCCAGCTTGTTCGTATTAAATATATACAGCTCTCCCAGGCAAAGGCGATGCGACTTTGGGGATATCTTCGCTTTTACGCGACGTAAGAATGGGAACAACTGATTGCTGATCGTCGGTGACTTTAACGCTCACGACACGGCATGGGGATATAAGCAGGCTTCAATTAAGGGCAGGAAATCGTGGGATGACATGCAAACTCATAATCTGGATCTAATAACCGACCCGTTGCAGCCAACGAGGAAGAGAAATAGTGTCGCGGTTGACACCACACTCGACCTTACTCTGACGGGGAGCGGCACTAGTGCCACGTGGTGCAACACAAACGAGGACCTAGGCAGTGATCACATGATTATAAAAATAGTGGTAGAGGGAGGCCCGGCAATACCTCGGAAACGAAGGGCAGAGGCCGTAAATTGGGACTCTTTCAGGGACCTCAGGGGTGACACAACTCCCATTTTTGACATTGCCGAGTGGTGCGATGGGATGTTACGTACTGTTAAGGAAGCCACTGAAGTAGTGGAAACCGAGGAGGATCACGAAGATGTAGACAGGACTTTAGTAAATCTTTGGAAGAAAAAGAAAGCTTTGGAAAACTGTCTCCAACAGAGGAGATGGGATCGGAGTATCCGGAAACAAATAGCAGCTTTAAACAGGCAAATTGAAGATCACGCCATCACGCTCACGAAGCAAAGGTGGGGGAACGTCTGTCAGGAGATGGATAGGAATATAAGTGCGGCCGGGACGTGGCGACTTCTTCGTCACCTTTTAGATCCGGAGAGCACGAAGACAGCGTGTAAACAGCAATTGGAACGGATGGCGCACCAAGTTGAAGGCACTACGAAGGAACTCTTAGAGGAAGTTCGGAGCAGAAACATTAATCTCGCCGGATCCGAACCTCTCCCAGATTATGGAGGACGGGAAAACGCAGCCTTAGATGCCCCTATCTCCCTGGCTGAGGGGCGAGCGGAGAATAATCGGCTAAGGACTAGATCAGCGGCAGGGCCGGACAGAGTGACCAACAAAATGCTCCGTAATTTAGACGATAGGTCCATCGCTAACCTAGCGACGTACATGCAAGAGTGTTGGGAAAAAGGGACAATACCACAGGAGTGGAAGCTCGCAAATGTAATTTTCATTCCTAAACCGGATAAAAAACTCGGTTTTGAGAATCTTAGGCCGATATCGTTCACGTCTTGTGTAGGTAAGCGCATGGAGCATGTC